GTTTGTAATCAGCCAATAGACTGAAGCGTTTGCTATTGTGTCTCGCGTTACGAGAATTTTGTAGTTAATCGAAAAGCAAGCGTTTTTGGCAGCTATGTTATAAAAGAATTTGCTCATGCTCTTAGCTGTGCATGCGTATATCGAGTTATGGATGCACTTGGGAAGTTTGGAGAGCACTCAAGACGGTCTTCCGTGCTCTCCAAACTTCCCCGGGTGCATCCATAACTCGATATACGCACGCTAAGCATGAACAAATTAAAAGCTTAGATTAATTGTCATGTCCACAAATTTGGAATATAGAGTTAGAGAAAGTAGGCGGCTGGCCAGCGAAGCTCAACGAGGAAAAGGGCGACAGAGATCTAGAGCAAGAGACAAAGAAACAAAGAAGACATGTTTTCGTTGGAAGAACAACATGAAAATATTGTAGCGGAGGTGAGAAGATGAGAAACGCTAGCGGCCACCAATGGAAGGTGAAAATGAGCGGCAGTGAAAAAACAAAAGACGTGAACGAGAACACGTATGACAACGTGTAACTAAGACCCTGTTTACATGGGTGGGGACCCCGGTCTAGTGGAGTAGGTTTCTTTTGTTTTGTGTCCCCAGAGCGTGAAAACAAAAGAAACCAACCCCACTAGACCAGGGTCCCCACTCCATGTAAACAGGCCCTAAGAAGGTTCTGGAAGTTTCACGTTGTAGTCGTGCAAAACAACGGCGAAGAAATGTACAGAAAAATTGTGCTGCACGTGCAAAGTTGTTTTTTGCTAATTGCACAAATTGTTGTTTTTTTTTTTCACCGTTCTCCGGCGTTGCCTTCGCCGCTTAGCATTACACCATTTTATATTTGGTTTGAACTATAAATATTATCGAGCGCTTCACTTTTAGCCCTAGCTAAATCTATATATCATTCAATTAATTCAGCTCTGTCTTGGAAAAAGACAGTCCGTTCTTGATATCGACCAGCTGTGCGGCAGCGGACTGATAATTTTTAAACGATGAGGCTCCGCCCCGAGGTCAAACGCCTTAACCTTTCATTACGACATATACTATTTTTGACAGAAAAGGTACCCCTTTCGTATACCCTTCTACTGACAAATGGTACCCTTTTCACATAGCTAGTTTAGGACGCTACATTGCTTTGAACTGCTGCAAATGTACTGTCCTTAAAGGAACAGATTCACGGTTCAGCGCATGCTCATTTATCAAAATGCTGTTTTTCTGCCGGGACATGCTGTATCGTCTATGCAAGCAATATGATCATGTCATTTTGTTGTCAAAGAACCAATCTACACTCTCCCCTGGTAGTCACTTGCACTTGATCAACTTAAGTATTTGCAAATAGCTGCAAATTAATCAGCCATGGAATAAAACAATCGGGTCAACAATAAATTCAACGTTGTTAGTGTTGGCATAATCCACTATTTTTTTTCGGCGATTTTAGTACTCCTCCATCCTACTTCAGGCTCCTCTGAATACAATTCCGCACCGGAACATGTAGTTTGCTCGGGCGGGTCGTGTCTTTCTCAAGTGAACAATAGCCGTCGAGCAAATGTATTTCCAGCAGGGGTGGCTAACTTCGGTAAAGCTGTGTATCAGTCCCTAGAAAGGTCAACCCAGGACACCCGGGATGGATTTGTATTTGTACAGTGCCCAGGCCTCATTTTCTTGGCCGCGCGTTGATCTGGCCCGGCTACTTCGGCGAGCATATTCTCGGCCTTTTTGGATTACATCCTTCGAGTTTGTCAAAGTCTGCGGGATTCGCTTTTCTATCTGGGAAAGCTTTGTTGGTTTCTATATCTGCTGCTACCCTATTATCACAATCCTGGCATGTTTATTTTCTGTCGTAGTTCGGATTTCGTGGAAAAAGTTGCAGTTGAATGAGGGCATGGCGGCGAAGATGACATCTCGTGTCTCCTACCTTGTACAACAACAACAACTAACTGCAGAGTAAGTTTCATTGATCTTTATTTAGTATTTCGTAGAAATTTTAGGATCGTACTTTTACCCCATACAAACACCGTAATTTTACTGAAACCGTACTGTGGTACTATCACAGAGCCAGGGTTACCTGTGATGTTACAATTTTAACGAAAATTACAAAAACTACAAATTTCGCGTTTTTTCGCGATTTTGTCACAACTGTTCTCCCTTTGTTATAAAGCATTTGCTTGTTTTACCTAGTTATTTCTTTACTCACAATCCACAATGATACCCCTATGGGTAAAGATATCACATTGGTTTCAGTCATGATCAATCCTAAGCGAGACAACGAATATTCCATCGTTTTCATTTGGGAGTCACCCCCTTCCCGGGGCTCCCAACAGATGTTCTTTGAACCGTGTGCCTAAACGGTATATGCGTTTTTGTGGTTTGTTTTTGGGTATGGTATTTCATTGCATGATACCAAGAGACTGGACTGCTTGAAATTAATTCTAAACTTTTATGGACAAATTTTGTTTCTTCACCATGCTATCTTCATAAGCACGAATGAAATTGCGCAGCATTTAAGAGTTAAAATGGGTCTGCATGGGGGTGTTGGAATCGCCGTTGGTTTTCCTCACCCGTATCAATAATTTTTTTGATCAAGTCTCAGCACTCAGTTAAAAATCCTCTTTTCTCTGCTGACAGTAAAAATGTTGACGAATTCGCAGCTATCAGTTTATCAGTCCTTCACTGGGCCCCTTGTAAAGGTCTTATTCATAGAACAGAGTCTTTTTTTACTCAAAATGAAACTCGTTACAAAATTTGACCAACTTACATTCGCGCCGCTATGTTATTACAGTTCCTACGTAGGGCTCTTTATTTGAGTCTAGTAATTTAGCAGACAAGAGAGAAAAGGTACAAACCAAATTGAGCTGTTCTCAGTGGCTTGCAAAGAGAGTTTGGTATCGTCTGTTACCCGATACTTAGCCAATTTGCTCTATAGAAAAGAATAGTAAATCTTGGATATGGCCTACAATACCTGACGGCGTTCATGCGCTAAACTCGCTTAGCAGCACTTTAGCATCTTGCGAAAAGCGTTTCTGAATTCCTCATTTCTCCATCCATAGGTAAGAGGATTGCATGCAGCGTTCAAAAGCATGGCCACCTTATAAACGATATGCTGCAGTAACTTTTGATGGTGGCCTGCGAGTAATGTGCTCCAGAAAACTCGGAGGGATGTCACAACAAGGATAGGAATGATACTGAGCAGACACAGCGCCACAACAATGGCGAGAGTTCGGGCGCCTTTCATTTCGTGCTTGATAGTTGGCATTCCTGGAAAGTCGCGGCCCTGTTTTCTGACACGTTGTCTCTGCTTGTGGGACACTATGAAGATGTAGGTGTACGAGCATATCATGATCAACAGGGGAACAAGAAACATTGACGCAGCTGTCAATACAAGATGCCATCTGATGTGAAGCTCTTTGGCTTTATCATTATCTGGATGCATCTCTATGTGAAATTCTCTGTAATCTTTGTGGCCTGTTGTCCCATAAAGCGTCCATGGAAGAGCAATAACAATGACCAGAGCCCACAGCCACACCGCGATGGAAACGATCCGTGCTCGGCGTTTGGTCACTATGGCCTGGTATCTTAAAGCGAACTTGATGGCGATGAAACGTTCTGAACTCATTAAGCTGAGATGAAGAACAATGACCGAAAGGAGGAACAAGGTGATAGTTCCGCTTACTTCTTTTAAATTACAAAAAAGTGAACGATTTCCAACATTATACAAAATGATATCAAGAATCAAGGGAATCGCTATTAAGCCGTCGGCGATAGACAAACTCACCAAAATGTTGTTGGAAGCAGTTCGCAAGTTGCGAAATTTGTGAAACGCTCTTAGCACGAAATAGCTGCCGAGGACGGCAGCGACTGTGATAATCCCACAAACGTTCAACTTTAGAATAAATATCCAATTCTGTGAGGCATCGCCAGGCGAGCAATTCTTCGGCATTGCGGGAGGAAAATTGTGCCACCTATGTTATCTATCGTTTTCGGAACACTTACTCATACCACTGTTGTTCCGTTTCGTATCATAATCAAACTATATTAATATTCAGCCATGGCCAGGTGAACCCAACTCTGTATATGATCAAAGGATATTAGATAACGATAACTACTATTGATGATGTTCCTTTTGTTTTAATAGCGTCAAAACAAAATACCCCGCAACTGCAATAAAGGTAGAATTAAACCATTTCTATTAACCAAAAACCAAATAAACATGCTTGTCCATATAATATACAGGTTAACGTTGGGTAACTGTCTTAATTACTGCTTTCTACAACGTCAAACTCTAAAAGTCCTCGCTAATTCATTGAGAATCCATCAAGAAAGTAAATAGGATGTCAAAATTGCATAGTATAGAGTTGAGCAAATAAAATTATAACATAGCTAGAAAATTCGCCTAATCAAATTCAATAGCGCGAGCGTGCTTCATATTCCTATTGAGCACGCTGATGACGTCAATAAACTATTCGTAATTCCTCGAGTTGTTGTGAGCTTAGCAATCCTGAGTCTCCTGAGTGAATCCATAACTCAGCAATAGACAATGAAGCGTTTACCATGTGTTTTGTAAAGAAATTTAAGAGGAAACGTTTGAATTTGTTAACCGATAGTAAGGAAAAGAGGTGAGTGTTGTTGTTGTTGTTGTCATCTCCGCGAGCTGTGCGGGCTATGGCGTGAGCTCATTCTTTGCAAAGTTGTTTTCTCTCAATAACAATTTTTCGGGAAATTAATAGTTTTCCGACACCTAAATATGGATTTTACAATCATTTTAGAGTACACTTTCTCTCAGTTTCAGAATAAAAACATAAGATTAACTGTGAGGAAAAAAGATATATTCACGTAAACATTGACGCGTACTGCTTTGAGCGCGCCCTTCAATAATAAAATTTTCAGTTAACTGCTGCATTGATCGCTTTGATAATGTTATAAAACAATTAGTTCATGCTGCAGCTGTGCGTATGTCGAGATATTGAGCACTTGGGAAGTTTGGAGAGCACTCAAGAGGCTAGAGTTGCACTCGGCTGCGCCTCGTGCAACTCTTACGCCTCTTTCGTGCTCTCCAAACTTCCCGCGTGCTCAATATCTCGACATACGCACGCTGACGCATGAACTAATTGTTAACTAGTTATCACGCAGTGTTCTTAATTTATACTAAACACCTGACTACGTTCAACGGTGAATTGAATTTGTACAGAGTCAACTTATAATTCATAAAAAGAACCTTATATTTGGCCTAGAAAGAAAAACAAAACAACTGTGGCACTCTTAATAAAAATTAGTTGTAACAGCAGGCTTTGAAAGTTTCATAAACTAGTAAGTGCGTCTTACTGAGTTTAAAATACAAGGAACAGCCGAACATGTACGAAGTGCGAGCTTTTTAGCAGGTCTAAAAACGTCTCCTAAATACTCCTTTGAATTAATATTATTATTACTGATTATTACTAAAATAATAATAATTGTTATTATTAATATTATTATTATTGTTTTTATTATTATTGTTATTATTATTATTGTTATTATTGTTATTATTATTATTATTATTATCATTATTATTATCATTATTATTAATCTTATTTCATTTATTATTATGGGTCCTGTTTCTTTGCGACATTCGGCTTAAAATAGCCGTTTTAAATTATTATTTGAAAGAAATTGTTTTTGTTCAAGGAAGTAGACACACTGGCTCTCATCGTTTTTGAGCCATTAATTAGGAAACGTCAGTTTTATTTCATGCTGTGTTATTAAAAATTAATTGACACGCGTAAACCATTCGAAAGGAGAAATAAGAAATAAGTTATAAGGAACAAAACTTAGTTTGGCTTAGATAGCTCAGCGGCGATCTGTTTGAAGAGTACAGAAGGTGCTTAAAATTAGTATATCATTCTGCGTAACTGGAAAAGTGTTTATTTCCCGTTTGAGGAATTAGGTGACCGCATACTATTACAGTCGTGTTTCTTTTCCCGCGGGATTCGGGTAGGTATCGTCCTGGATGCCATATGATTTCACGGTTTGGACGAAATCTTGACTGGCTGACTGGCTCATTCGACCTCGACCTCATGTGATAGCGGAGCTCCCGCGCGCGCTTCGCGCGCGCGTTGCGGAGCACCATGGGTAAGAAAATTTGGTAAACTATCCATCCGAGAAAATTTGGTTATGACGTAGCGTACGCCCACCCGTACACACACTTCATGTAAGCCGATGTCAAATGTCACAATAGATCTTGCACAACTTGACTAGCCTTTTAGTTATGTAAGCCATCCGTATGAGTACGATTAGATTGACAGCTGTCAAAATCAGACAGCCGCTGACAATTATCACATGACCGTCTCGCGGGCTCAGATAAAAGACCAGTCGTTTCGCCCCTATATATAAGCTAACACAATATGTCACACCTACCAATTCAATATAAAAACGAAACTACGCCGGGCAAGGCTGTCAGTTGGCTGACAATCGTTTAAAGTTACATTAGCAAGCCAAATTAAGGTCAATTAACAGCTGTCAAAATGGGACATGTACAGACCGCTATCAGAAAACTAATAACGTGTGTGGGCTCAGGTTCGCTCAGGTACACGATCTGGCATTTTCCACTACATGTCTGTTAATTCGAATATTCGCCATTCTAATGAAGGTTAATTGACAGCTGTCAAACTAGAGTATACACTGACCATCATCACCTGAGTGGATCGCGGGCTCATTTTTCTATCCATTGAGGTCACGTAGTGTTTAAAGATTTGCGGTGTTATTTTATTTGATCACGGGCTCAATTCGAAGCCCCATAGCTTTATAGAAAATCTATCCATCCTAGAAAATTCGGCAATCACGTGACCGTACACCGACCACCCGACCTTCCGTCTGTCCGCATCACAGGCATACCAATGTTTAATCTTACACTTTCTAGCTAGTTTGGGAGCCTGCAACCTGATATTGTACATCCATGTTTTGATTAATTGACAGCTGTCAAAATAGTGTTTCTGCTGACCAGTATCGCCTGACCGTATCGCGGGCTCAGGTATCGATCCTCTGAGTTCGAGTAATTTTTTGAAGGTATCCGCGGACAAGTTGCTACTTTTCAAATGATCGCAGACCCAAGTTCAATTTTTTTAAAATGCATACGAAATAAGTCGTGTTTCATGAGCCGCACTTTTAAAATGTTGATTTCGAACTGACCTCGAACACGAAAATTCAACCGGCTTTTACATTTCCATGCAGGGAAGGCAATCGCTTTTGACTTTTCTCACTGTCACGCGTTGATCACGCTCTACGTCCAATTTTTATGTTCTGATTGGTCAAAATTTGACAGGTGAGTTTATGCGGAAAATTTATGCAGCGTCTGGAAACTTGCTTACTGATAGCTAGAGCTGACAGAGTTTTGTGTCATCTTGTGATGTTTTAAACTGCCTTTTTCTACTTGGTGTACAAAATGAAATACAGCTGCTATCAAGATTGTTCTGTAATTCGTGGCTGGTTTGTTTATTGCGCTTTTTGTTGACAAATGCACCGCTTGTCAAAGTCATTGGAAATCCGATTTCGGATGGCATCGTTTTCAAAAATGGGCTTTAATACTCGCTTGCCCTTGTTTGAGGCGTGAGAGGGTTGAAAAGTCTCAAGCGATTCTGGAACACTTGATGACCTTCAGAAGCAGCATCTTGACTGGTAAGCCTGAGCAATTATTGTCTTTGATGTGTTTTTTTTTTTCGGTTTCCTGAACTCGAGCGTATGGTTTATGCGGCTCAAGTTTATACACGAGCAATGATCTAACCTACAATAGTATCAGGTTTAAAAAGCCTTTAGACATTTTTTGAACCGCAAATTCAAAGAAAAGGTTCCGAAGATTATTTAGTTATGATTTTGGCTGTAAACAGAAAGCTCTGAGCGATTTTCTTGCCTCGAGTTCATCTTGAAAAAGAGCGAACACCGGGAAGCCGGCTTAAAACATAAATAAGCTTATGCTTACCTGACTCATGATTTTCTGAGACACTTTACTCTCAATAGTTCTCTTCGTGAATGAAAATTATTGTCTGTGTACATTTTTCACCGAATTAAATTTATTTTATTGATTGTTAGTAGTCCCTCTCGCAATTTTCATCGCTGCACTGGTTGTTTCCAGTCGAACATAAACATCGCATGCAGGAATTCTCAAAACGCCGCTCGTAAATATCACTCGCTTTTAAAGATTACACATAACAAAATCATACACAGTTGAATGAATAAACGCATTTCTCTATCAAAAAAATGGCATGGGTCCTATTTTGTTTCATTTTGCCGACTTTGGATAAGTTTCGTTACGGCCAAAATCTGGCCGTAACGAGCACAAACTTGCAATAGTTTGTATCAGGCCCAATTTCAGCGGTAGCCGTTAGAGAGAATGTATGAGAACCGCTCAAATTGGGCCTGATCTCAGGTTAATCGCACTGCTAATTTGGTGCCTGTCAAAAGTGAGAACCCGCGCGTCCGGCTGGCCGAAAAGTGATTTTGGGAATTTTTTTTTATCGTTTTCATTAAAAGCCCATAATTATTACCCTGCATATCACATAGGACCAGATTTCTCTAACAGAAAAGTCCCGGCATTATAGAATTCTCTTCATGAAAACGCTTTATAATGCAATGCTATAATTTGTTGTGCAAAGGAGGTGCGTGCTTTGATCGTCGTGGATATTGAATGAGTGCAAATTCTCTTGCAAAATTGCGAAAAAAACTGAAGAATTATAGGTTTAAATAGGGCAAAAAAGAACAAATTCTGTCCGAGGTCTGTATGATAAAAAAAAGGGCCTTATAGTACTGTTTACCTCGAAAG